AGGTATTTAAAAGACGTGTAGATGTGGTGCTTAGGGACATGGTTTAGTGGTGGACTTGGCAGTGCTAGGTTAATGGTTTGACTTGATGATCTTAAAGGTCTTTTCCAACCTAAATGATTCTATGATTCTATGATTCTGTCTGGTATTCTGGAAAAAAGCCGTATCTTTTAGATGTGTATGTGTTATGGGTAACAGTGTGTTGTATATCTTTCAGATACGAGACTTGGAAGCAGAAGTTTTCAGGCTAATGAAGCAAAATGGGAGCCAGGTTAACAATAACAACAACATTTTTGAAAGGCAGACATCTTTTGGAGAAGTTTCTAGAGGAGATCCAGTGGAAAATCTAGATACTAAACAAGTGTCCTGCCTGGATGGCTTAAGTCAAGGTTTGTTTGAACCAAACCATAACTCCTATTAATATATATGTAAATAGCGTGGTTATCATTTAGGATTTAAAAGAAACAATTAATAATGCAGAGATGATGTTATTTTTCTGAAATTCAGTATCTAATGACAGCTGTATCAGGATTATACTGAATAATGCCAATATAGAGTCCCAGAATAGTTGTACAATGTATATTCTTAAAGGAATGGAAGTGACTAAGTACTAATAAAGCAAAGATCATTATTGATTTCTTAAAGCTTTCAGTGGGATGCCATCAACATTTTGGTTTAATTCGATGCTTCTGTTATGTTAATAAAGTAGGAGAAAATTGTGTTTTCTCCTATGTTCCTCAATCTGTCCTTAATTACCCAACCACCAAAGATCAAACAAGAACAAAGTTACCAGAATGAGAAAAACATTGTTAAATCTACCATTCTGAATGGATCTATGCAGGTTCTGATCCCACCTTGGTACAGACATCAAAAGGAACCGTGTAGGTGGCACTCACCATTTTTCAGGATGGAGCCTTTTGTGAATAAAATGCAAATTCTTTACTAGCACATTAATTAAAAATCTTATTCAACTATAGCACAGCCTGATTTACAACATTTACAACTTGTAAGACTTTGTTCTACATTACCAAAGAGCCAAAACAATTTGTGGCAACACTGAGATCTGGATAGATGCTGTCAGCATGGTGACTGTAACCTTTACTTGTTTTGCATAGAAAAGATAATTCCCATTTTTCAGGTTGTGTCAGTGAAAGTATACAGATAACTTCCACAGCTTTAGTTAAAGTTCTGTAATTGCAAGTGACTCCTGACTCTTGAAGTATATGCAGAATTAAAGCCAATTTTAGGTCCACAGCCTTGAAACAAAATTGTTTGGCACAGGAGCAATACTTACTGTGTATTTAGTAACATCTGTGAAATCAGGTGTTGGAAGTTTTGGGATTCTGACAAGGGAGCACCACACTCTGGTCCTATATAGGTTTTCATTTTAAATATACTATAATATTATTTATTTCTCTGGTGAAAAAAATGCATTACATTACCAAAGAAATTAATTTCTAGCAAGCACAGAGGTGTTTTATTAAAACTGGTATTTTAGTAGTTATTTCATGTGTGGACCCAAACTGAATATCGCTCTACAAACAAATCAATATGAATTAAATTTTTAACAAAGTATGTGTATAA